AGAACATATAGGTAAAACTTTTCAGCGTCTGTGTTGTACAGATGCCATGGCGAACCAAAAAGGTCCAAGCGTTGGTCCGAGCGTCTATCGTCCCCATCCGTAACCACCGTAGCTGCCATAACCGCCATAGGGGTAGCCGCGGCCATAGCCTCCCATGCCGTAGCCGCCCATTCCATATCCACCATATCCGCCGTATCCGCCACCCCATCGTCGGCCCCATCTAAACGCGGCTGGTTAAAAAGAGCATTCAGATTATCCAAAGCTCTGAACTTCTGGACGTTCTAAGAGATCTCGTGATGGTGCTCACTGAGGAGTTACCTCCTACCCGTTAGAAAGTAGTCAACGACCCATTCTCGTGGTCAGCGACATGATGACCCTCCTGGGCAGCGGTCCTTGACGTGATCTTCCAAAAATCTGCCAAATTTTTACCCGTAAACCGCTAATTCGTATAATTTTTGTGTTTTTTTCTCGTAAACCTGCTTCTTGAGGTCATACACAAGTAGTAACTTGAAGATGAGCGCGCAAAACCTCTAATTTCAGTGGTAAAAGCCCGAAGGAGAAAGGCTTTGAACAGTACAAGCTCGGCAGGCCTAAAGGACGCCTAAAGTATCTAGATCCCGTAAAGCGAGGCAAGCGTTTAAACGCCCGGGTATTTTCCACTGATTTCCGTTCTGAGAAGCAGCTCGCCATCGCATCAAGGTGAGCAAGGAAAAAGTGGACTTACCCGCCATATCCGTGGCTACCGGAAGGCTTAGCGTAGCTCACGGCTACTACCGCTGCAAGGAGGACCGCCAGCAATGCGTAGAGCTTCATATCACTTGAATGCGAGTTCCAGATATCTTAGAGGGTAATAGTACCTACAGAAAGCGACCGTTGTTTAGACCACAACCGTTAACGTCTTAAGTATCTAGTTCCCCATGGTGGTCCTTGACGCATTGTATCCACGTAAACAGTTCAGTAATTACGTGAGTCTCAGCCAGTTACAAATAGTGCACTTAGCGAACGGCGGAAGAATCACCGCGTACCCGATCTCAGACGTCCGTCAAAGCGTGGCGATCCGCGCGCTCCTCCAGCGAGAGTTGAGTGCGAACGTGGGGAAGTCAACAAAGTGTGTTACACTTGGCAACAGAACATGCATTCGGTTTACTGTTCTTCCGTATTGCTAGGTAACCAATTAAGGACTCACTAGAGCAACGCGTCACTGATCTAAAGAGTTCGATGAAGAGCGAGCAATCCGATCAGGGTGAAAGGAACGAACTGCGCAAAGCGTACTTTGCGCACCACGCAAACCGCGGAAGCTAAAAAGCGAGCTAAGTTTAAGACATGAAGAGAATGTGGAGGGCAGTTGTGGAACTGCCAACTACATAAAATGATGCAAAATAGAGCTACGACGTAGTCGTACCGATGACATCGCGGCGCCAGGTGCTATATCATAGGCGGAACTCGCGCCGAAATTCGAAATGCGCCGTAAATTTTCCGTGACCGATACCGAATAAAAACCACAACCGTCGAATACCAATGCCCAAAATAGAGATAGGGGCCGTACCGTATTACGGGCCGTACCCGTAGCCGTAAAATACGGGTACGACCACGGTACGGGGGTATCCGTTACGGGTACGGGTGGCCAGCCGCTATCTCTAACACAAACAGGCACACATGCGACGGATATCGATACCGCACAGCCCTGCTTATTGTTCCCGCCGGTGGTCTTAACGTGCCGCGCGTCATAAAAATTATATTGGTTAGGGAAACGGACCTTATCAAACGGCCGCTACCGATATGCGTTCTTTCGGTTGAGACGTCCATGCGATGCGAGGGTAAGTGCAAAGCATCCTTAAAAAATAGTCGG